CACAAGAAAGCTGGGCAAACGTCTTGGCTAGACAAATTATCATTTCACTTCTACCAAACACAGATAACATAGATTGCCAAACTCAGAAGGATGGGGATCCCAACAAAATCCCTGAACCAAACGCGACCTAAGAGGAGCTCCACTCTAGCTACTAGAGTGGGTTTTTCATCTTCATCTAATTCAATGGATCAGCATCAACAAGTAGATTTACATTTCAGTTGAGACCCAGGAGTATTTCTTGCTATTTATTCTCCATTTGGACATCGAGTACACAGTTCCTTAGGCACAATACAAGCCAGAGTGAGTGTATCAGTTGCAATAGTTAGAAGGAGCTTAGATGGTTAGGAGTTGGTTAAGTAATCTAATATGGTTAGTAGCTGCCTAGGTGAGTGAGTTCTTGTATATAAATGATACCAATATGTACAACAGAGTGAGGAAAAGAGTAATAAACTCATTAGTTTTTAATTTTTATTTTATTTTAATTTCTCCCCCTAATGGGAATTCCTTTCCTAACACAGGGTGACCTTGCATTGATGTTTTTAGGATCAAGATACCTTTATTAATAGTTTATTGTTTAATAGTAATTTATTGCTTAAAGAATGAAGGCATAGTTGGTAATTAATATATATATATATATATAAGCGTAAATCATAACTTTAATTTTGATTATTGATCTCACTTATATATAATTATTCTATTTTTTAAATTATATGAACAATTTGATACAAGTGAATTAATGGATTTAAGGATAATATTGGAGTGGCAATGCGAGTCACTCCCCTATTCGTTTCTCAGAAAGGGTTAAAAATCTTAACTCATTATATTTTTTAGCAAGTTAATGAGTTAATCTGATATAGTGAAAAATAAATAAAAAAGAGGCAAAAGAGGGACATTGAGTAATGTGAAATATTTTACCCAAAGTATTCTTTTTTTTAAAAAAATTAATATAATTATTACATTTTACAAATATAATTAAATTAATTTTTTTAAAAAATATTTATGTACTTTTTATCACTACTAAAAAAGATCATATCTTCAATGAAATTTCTACGTTTCAAATAAAAATATATATTTTCAGTGGCTTTTTTTGTTCGAAAGGCAATAAATTTTTTATCCATTCAAATTTTGACTGCAATAAATTTGTGTCAAAATTTTCAATAGAACATGATTACATTGAATTTTTGATAGAATTTAGTTTCTGTCAAAAGTTTTGACGAAAATGATTTCTTTAATATTTTCGACAGAAAAAAAAATTCATTGAAAGTTTGGACAAAAAAAGAATTCTGTTGAAATTTTTGACAGAAATGTTTTCCATCAAAATATTTTACGAAAATGCTTTCCGTCAATTTTTTTTTATGAAAACGTGTTTTGTTAAAAATTTCGACAAAAATATTTTTCTTCAAAAATTTTGACTACGCCAAAAGTTTCGACGGAATTTTTTTTGTCAAATTTTTTTACAAAAATATTGTTCATCAAAATTGTCGAAGGAAATGTTTTCAATTGAAAATTTTATATAGAAATGTGTTCCATCGACAGTTTTGACGTAAATATTTTTCGTTAAAAATTTTGACGAATTTTTTTTCCATTAGAACTTTTGACGAAAATGCGTTCCATCAATTTTTTATGGAAATGTGTTCCATCGAAAATTTTGACGAAAATTTTTTCGTCAAAAATTTGGACGAAAAAAGTTTCAAAGGAATTTAGATTCGGTCAAGAGTTTTGACGAAATTTTATTTTCGTCAAAAATCATTGCAAGTGATTATGACTAAATCTTGTTTCGTCTCTAATTTTGACGAAAATTTTTTTGTCTTTATTTTCAACGAAATATGATTTTCGTCAAAAATTCCATCAGTATTTTTGATAGAATATTCTCTATAGATAAATTTTGTTGGTATTTAAAATTTTTCTAGTAGTGTCACATTTAAAAAATGATTCACACTTATGTAGTTCACATTTTAATCATAAGGACATATAAGTAATTTCTAATATTTCCCCCCTCAAATCCCCTAAATCGGGATAACTTTAATTTTAAGAACAAAAAAGATTTTGGAGGATTTTGTGAAAATCCCCAATTCCTTCCCCTTACTTTTTTAAACTCACAAATAAGAAAAATAATTAATAAAATACTCTCATCCATTTCCATTTCCTTTTAAGTGATATAATTTTAGGAGAGTGTATTGGATTGGGATTTTAAAGGATTTTAATGGATTAATTTTTGACAGAAAAATCCATTGGTATTCAATTAGGATTTTAATGGATTGAAAAAAAGCCACGTGGTATTCGATTATGATTTTAAAAGATTATTTTAGAGTCCGTTCAAATCAGTTGGTATTAAATCAAGATTTTAAACAATGAAAAAAATAATCTTGTGGTATTCAAAAATCTAACGATTTTAATGGATTTTCTATTGGTGTGGATTTCGTGAGACTTTTTAGTAAAAAATATAAATAGGATATCTCTCTCACAATCTCACCTAACCCTTAAGAATTCTCTATTGCATTGTTTTCTTTTTCCTTTGGCAGTTCACCCGCTCGAAATTGGATTTTCCCATGGAAGCTTCGTCAAAACTCAAAAATAGCATATTTTTTAGCGATTTTCATCACAATATAACCCAGAAACAACAAATCAATGAGTTTTTAATATAATCTATCTCAAAAATAACATATTTTTGTGCCATTTTTGAGAAATTTTGAAAGTTTAAAAAGTGAATTTTCAAGCTATAGGTCGCGATTTTTCTTAGCACAAAAATGTGTGATTTTTGTATTAAAAATAACATAAAACAGTGGAAAAATAACAGGGGAACTAAAACCCTCAAATCAATTTTCGTTGATCAATTTAAAGAAAGATTGAAACTTTCATAATATAAACCCTATATTTCGTAATAATACATTCATGAACGAAATTCTTTCACTATAGAAAATGATTTCAAACAATTTTTGTGTCAATAGATAACTAAAAACTTGTTTTTCAAAAGCTCCAAAGCAATTTAAGGTTTCAATGTATTGATTGAAAAAAATTTGAGACGTTTTTTAAACTTTCATATAATAAAATCCAAAAAATCAGATTCAATTTTTTTTTAGAATATTCAATAAAAATATGCATATGATATATGGTTAGAAAACTCTTATTACGTAGAACAAAAATTCCAAGTTTTTCAAGATCAATTGCAAAAAATTCCAAACGAAAATTTATTATGAACTTTAGGTTCTATATGCAAATTTATAATTATTTTAATAATTAAAAAAAATTAGGTCTTATAATCGTATATGCATAGCTTTGATACCAAATGAAGAAGATACTTTTCAATCCATTGGTCAAACCCAAGAGCAGAAACGAGAAAATGTTAATGCATGGAGAACTAGTATAACTTTAGATATGTGAAAAATTGCTGCTTAATAATTTTGAATGTTTGTTAAAAATTATATTATGTTTTACTGATTGAGAAAATTATATAAGGTTTTACTTTTTTTTATTAGTTTCATTGCATTTCTTTGTTATTGTTTTATGAAGAATATTATACTTATAACCTATTTTTGTTTATAACCATTTACAACCATATCTTAACTGTTGATTTTCGTCGATCAACGGTTATTATTTTAACAAATTAAAATCATTAATTAATATTAATTCACAATGAATGATAACCGTTGATTGACGAAAATTAACTGTTAAGATATGATTTGTTAAAGATTGTAGTCCCATAGGTGGCTCAAAGAGTCGAGCCCGTGGGGATACCGGAGGGTTCTGATTCGCTTCAAAGAGGTAATTAGGATCAGTTTCTAAAAAAAAAAAGATTGTAAACAAAAATAGGTTATAAGTATAACCTTCCCTTTTTCATTGACTCTTGTAATTTTGAATGTTTGTTAAAATTTTATATGTTTTTTTAAAATCTTATAAATTCATATTGTCCTTTTAAATTTTATAAATTCTATTAAAATCCTTTAAAATCCAATCTTATGAAATCTTGATTGTAAGAAAAGTCTTTTAAAAAAGTATGTAAAGTCACTCCAATTCTAAATAGTCTTTTAAAATCTATAAGATTTTTTATCTAAAAAAATCTTTTAAAATCCTAATCCAATACATCCCCTTATTTTATTTTTTAGACGAAATGACATCATTTTGGTATATAATTGTTAATTTTTTACATTCTCTCTCATGTATAAAATTAGAAAAAGAGATAACGTGGTGGAGAGATAATATAAAAAATTATTAAGTATGCATCAAAATAACGTTATTTCATTTAAAATGACAAATAAAAAGATAAATATTTTTCTCAAAAGATAATCGCCGCAACACTAAGAAATTCAAGTAGATAAAAAATAATATCTATGAAGTTTTTGTGTTACATCTCCTTTTATTTTTATTTAAAAAAAGCATACTACACGTATCTACATCACATATTTGGGAATTTTTTAATCTGACCACTTTTAATTATATTCGATAGATAAATTAATTCTAGGATTGGAAGCCACATCCCACCTGTCAGGAAAAAAATTACACAAATTTATTTGACATGAGTAGAAATTTTAACATTTAAAAGTCGGGAGATGTTACTGTATCTTTTTGTTATTGTCTTTTATTATTAAATTTAATCGTTGATTTTTGTTAATTTAACAGTTATAATTTATTAAAATTAATAATTAATTAATAAATATAATCCAAAAAATTACAACTATTAGATTGACGAAAATCAACTATTAAAATTTAATAACAAGAGATAATAAAAAAAGAGATAATAACCGTAACTTCTCCGGTTTATAATGTTTTTATTCTTTCTAAATTTTTTTCCGGGCCGGGCATTCATATTCCGCGTATCTACATTGCATTGATATTGTTGGGCCGAACGGGTCCATAAAACCTCTTGCCTTTGCCAATGGTATAAGTGTCTGTCCCCCCCCCCCCCCCCCCCCCTGATGATTTCATTTTCAATCGGCAACTCTGAGAAATCTTAGGAGTAGAAACGTTTGATTTAATTAATCACATAAATCTGTAATCTGTTGGTTATAGAATGGCGAGTAGCTGGAGAAGATCGTTGGGCAACGTGAGAACCTTCTTAGGCAATTCGATGGGAGGTCTAAGGGGAGGAAGCAACCTTGCTTCTTGGGTTGTGGCTGGAACCCTAGCGTACTTTTTCTGGATCAAGCCCTCCCAAGACCTCAAGCGTGAACAACAGGTTCGTCTCTCTCTCTCTCTCTCTAATTCTTTCTCTTTCTTATTTGCAACTGCAATCACTGATTTCTATGATTTTTTTTTTTTTTTTTGAACTTTTTTTACTGTGGGTGGGTCCCATAGGAAAAGGCTGCTCTTGCCTCCTCCTCCTCGGATCCTTATCGATACGTTGAGACTCGAAAACCCATTCCTGATCCTCAAGTTCGTCTTCTTAGCACTTTTGCTCCCTCTTTAATCTAGATTGTGCTGTGCTGTGCTTATTATTATTATTATTATTATTATTATTTACTTTTTAATTTGAATTACAGGTAACGGGTTTGATATATGGAAACAAAAACAAGGATAAAGCAGCTAAGCCAGAGGATTAGCTTGTAAGTTAGTTTTGTTTGCTTACTTGTTAATTGTTGATTGTTATACAATGTACACGTTGCAAATAGTTCATGATTATTATATCTGTCTTTGCTGGTACATGTACATGTACCATTCAATTAACAATGGGCTGTTTGGGCCATGAATTATGTTGTTGATTCTTTATAATGTCCTTGGCAGGAGTCAAAATGGAAATAGTTAACAGTGAGGCAGGCATATATCGTGTTTGGATACGGGGTCAGTTTCAACTTGCCACTGCCCTTTTTTAGTTTATCTATACTGAACAGTACCATTTAGTTCATATGTTATATTGTTATTATTACTTTTGAGTTTTGAGAATCAATATCTGTAACAATCCTTCCTTCCGGAGGCATGTTATTACAATTAATAAGTCCATCTGACGTTACTTATGAAGCAGTGTTAAGGATAGTTTTTGGCTCATTGTTATGAGTTTACATCAGCGTTTATAAAGATTTAAAGAAAATTGCATTTGTAGCTCTGTTGCATTACATTCACGAGGGCTTTAAACTCTCAGTGCGTGCGTGCGTGCAGAATTGCATTTGTATTCTTGGAAATTCATGAAACTGGCATTTTGTTGATAATTATTCACCTGGTTCTTCTCTCTTTGAATTTATGCTCCCAGAATTGAACCATTCTTGTCGTTTTAAGGGAACCTTGTTTGATTGATCTCCATCTGCAATTTGCAAAATAGGCTGGTTGCATGCCAATGTGATTTGATTTCCTACTTTCTTCCCTGATCTTCAACTGTGAACTGGAAATCCAACAACCTTTGATTCCCCTTGCTGGTACAACAGTTCCCCTATGTTGCCCTTTGGATGAATTGCAATGAAATTGAATAGTGTTAGAGTCGGACATCCCTTAACTACTTCAGTGAACTTCTGTAAATGTGCAATGGGGCAATCTGTGCTGGGTCTACTGGAGACGAGAAATTTTGCCATTCCTTGTGATATCAAGTTACTTAGAACTAGTTGGGTTTACCGAATTTAATTCTTTGTCTCCTTTAGTTGACGAGTTTTGTCATGGCATAAAGACACTCTCATTTTATTGTTCTGGTTTATTGCCCTTCTATTTACTGTTTGTGACTGGTAACTCTGGTGTCCACTGGGTTTGCGCTTGGTACTACTTTTTTGGCTGGCTGAATGTGCCTAAGAAGTCTAGAACTATGATGCTGAAACAGATTTGACATCCTACTTACTCTTTCAGGATATAGTAGAAAGGGTGTCACTTGTGTTGTTGACACTTTTGCAGTCAAATTCGACTGAGCAATGAGCATAGGTGTAGATCCTTGTAATGTTGGAATGAATGACAACTAAAATACACTGAGGGTGCTGTGAATTATTGGAGAATTTTGAAAAGGTGGATAGCAAGCTTGAATGGGGAAACTTACAATGCGTAAACAGATGTTGATTTTTTTTTATTATTATTATTTTAATTTTTTTAAAAAAGAATGCATTTACTATGATGAACCAGCTGGCATTGACACAAATGCCCGTGTTCAGCCCTGTTGCTGCCTTTATTTTTGGGTTTGATATTTCTCATATTGTAGGAGGAGATAAAATTATTTCCTACACATACATAAAAGTGTGTGAGACGGTCATATCAAGAGAAGAGACAGAAAGAGAAAATATGAGTCTTGACACTTTTATGTGTGTAGGAGATAAAATTATCTCTTATTTCTTACACATACATAAAAGTGTGTGGGAAGGTCATATCAAGAGAAGAGAGAGAAAGAGAAAATATGAGTCTTAGACACTTTTATGTGTGCAGGAGATAAAATTATCTCCTATAACACGAGAAACATTAATTTCATTATTTTTTATTTAAAAAAATTATGTCCTCCCCTTTTCGTGGGCAGATGGAAAAGTAGTTGGAAATCTTCCATTTGGTCGTAAATGGTCATGTTCATTTTGAGTTACTGTTACCACAATCGATTTTCTTTTACTTTTACCGTGATCATCTATTTAGGAAAAATAATTAAAAGTTACATTTGGTTTTATTTCTCTATTTTTGTTTTTTTCCTGGGTGTTTGATGAGCTAATAGTGATTATCTTGCGCAAACTACTACTACTTTTCCTGAATGGTTTTAGAAACAGTTTGAGGTCCATTGTTACTTAACTTTTTCTTTCAGGTTCCTAATTTAATATTGGACAAAATGTTGTGCAAAGTTATAGGAGTAAAAGGTTACTCTGTGATTACGTGTATAACGTAGTACTCTTTAACAAACATGATAATAATTTTGGCATCTTGGATGTTAAACTGATTTTTCTTCTTTTTTTTCCTTTGTTCAATGGTTGCATAGCGGTTGTGCTAGGATGCTTCTGGCATTCCGTTTTGGTAGGGCTTTTATTCGTGGCTTTTTGATATTCTTTTCTTCATTTTCATCTTATTATATTTTAGTTTGTATCCAGCTATCATTTCTATGGGCAGTGATGTGAGGTGCTTGAGCGCCTAAACGCCATAGCCTCACGTATGCATGTAACCTATATTCTGAGTCTTCGGGCAGCATTCTCCCAGTGAAAATGAGAAATCTGAGAGAGAAGATCTATATATACATATTGCTGTAATGAAGACTTGTTTTGTATTTAAAACAGTCATTATAATTCTTAATAAAAAATTGGAAAAAATGTTTCTGCAGTTACTGCATATAAGTTATCTGCATTTATTCTCAAAACGACGTCGTTTTGGTATTAAAATTTTAAAAAATTATAAATATAAAGAATATTATAACCCTGAAATAAATTAAAATTACAAAAATATCATGATTTTTGTCTCAAAATGACGTTGTATTGAGCTTACTGCAGATAACTTATCTGTAGTAACTGCAGAAAAAGCGAACTCTGAAAAATTTAGTTAGCAACAAATACAAGTTAACATAATTGTCTTATACCATCAAAGCCCAGCACGGTTGGTAGATAGCTGGTTTACTTAAGCACGTGTGTTGACAGAGGTTTGATTCCTGGTCGATTTACCAATTTAATGTGATCTTCCACTTTGAAAGGATTAGTCTTCGGCTGTCGGCGTAGAATATCTTGGAAAATTACAAAATAAAAAAATTGTCTTATAAAGTTTTTCTTTTTAAGTTGATTAGGAGTGACAATATATAAATAATAATGGCAATAGGCACTCCCTTATAAAAAATGGTTCACCATGAATTTTAAGAGAGGTTTTAGAGTAATGATTTGTCTTTTTAATAAATGTATTCAGCATTTTAATTACTTAAAAAGCAATAAATAAAAAAGAAGTATTTAGGATTTTATTAAATAAAAAATACTTGATATTATTCCGAAGATTAATTTAAAACACACACATGCGCTGAGTGGGATATGTTTGAGGTGCAAAGCAATCAAGCGTTCCATGTTATACACAACTCCTATTGGTTTCGATCATGTGTTGGTTTAAACGCTTTTTCTTTCTATGCGAATCTTTGGATTCTTTATGGCCTTATCCTATTACAATGATTATTATCATGCCTAACCTCAGAATCAATGGGCTAGTGTTTTAGTGAAACTGCCTAACTCAACTCACCTGGCAACTATTCTATTTTATAGTTTTGTTCAGGGTTTGATGTGCTGATTTGCCTATCTGTATAAGCTAATTAGCACATATGGTATAATTCCTTTGTCACGAATTCAGAATTCAATGGTAAAGAAAATTTATAGTTTTCTATGGTAATTAAGAATTTCTCCTTCAGTAATCAATATTAGAGGTAAATGTGCCATGCCTTAGTGGGTAGCACCCCTTATTAGTTTTTTTTTTTTTAATAACTTTTGAGCTTTTTCTTTTTTTAATATTAAATCGTTTTCCTTTTCAGCTAAAAAGTATCCAAATTGCTTGCTTCTCATGAATGCGAATATAAGAACGTGTTAAGACAACAAAGATACTTTAAGTCGCGTTAGATCTAATAGTTGGTTTAGGTCTATATTTTATTTATATAAACAATGATAATGAACAATATTATACTTATCTAATTGTACAATTTTTGTCGTATATGTGATGCACGGATCTGACTACTGACATTGAATTTGTAAAAAAAATATTCTTTTATATATATATATTATTATTTTTTTGTAGCAATTGGTGGTGATTTGATTATTAATTAATTGTTTTTTTAAAATAATTTATTAATTATTACAACAATAATGCAAAATTATAATGTGCGTATCGCTAATTTTTTTTTTTTTTTGGTATGCTGCGTATCGCTAATTTAAACTCATTATGTTCATGAATTTATCCGGCATAAATAACATTATTTATGATAGAATACTCAGCCAGCCTGCGTAAAATTTTGTGTATGGAGCAATCCTTATCCTAAACAAGTGTTGGGTTTATATCAAATTGCGGTTGAAATTATTAAAATTGAAATGATTTGATTTGAATTAAATTAATTAATTTAAAAATTATTATTAATGTTTAAATAATTGAAATATAAAGTAAAAAAGGGGGTTTAAAGTTTAAACTGATTTGTAAATCTAATTTTACGTTTACAACATCGTAAAAAATAAATAGAAGTCATCTTGAAAAGTCAGATTATATATATAGTCTTGCCTTTTCATCTTTAATTAAAATAAGTATAATTGATAAATAAATAGGGATAAAATTGTTTTGTTTAAACAATTACAAATAAAATCAAATCTTCTAATTATCCAACTTAAATTAAAAATATTTCAAAATCAAATCAGTCCGAGCAATATTAATTCTAGTCAATTGAAACCCTGCAAACAAATATTAGACCACGGAGACCGGTGAAACACAACTGCGGTTTTTTTTTTATAATACTATTAATATATGTATATATATATATACATACATGGGGAGAGATCTTTTGACTCTAGAGTAAGACTTATAACTCTTACTCTCTATCTCAACCGTTGATTTCCGTCCATCTAACAGTTATTATTTATTTGAAATAATTAATTAATTAATTGTTATAGATAACCGTTGGATGGACGGAAATCAACGGTTGAGATGAGGAGTAAAAATTGTAAGTCTTACTTTAGAGTCAAAAGATCCCTCCCCTACATATATATATATATATATATATATATATATATATATATATATATATATATAATTTCAAACATATTAAATTATTTATTTCTCATGGAATATTTATTATATTTGACTATTTAAACGTAACTCTTATAGCACCCCTTAAAAAAAGCCTGTTGCGTAATGAAATGAATGCTCTTCTTTGACTCAATAGTTTTGTTTATTTGAGGGTTGAATGCAAAGGAACAAATGTAGTAACGCGCGGTGCATTGAGCGTGGAGAAATAGGGTCATTTCGTGGGCGGAACAGAACACCTTTTGTCTTTGGTAATTGTAATTTGTTGGGTTCTTTTCCATTCCACCATTTCATCCTCAAAACCTGCATCCCCTTCAGTTTCATTCCTAGCTAGCTTTTGTCATGAAACTATAGTATATATTAATCAGCGTTTCATTTTCCAATATATATATATATATAGGGGCAGGATATTCTTACAGAGCTAGAAGTCTTACACTCAATCTTGAGCATTGATCCACTTGTATCCAATGATTCACATTACTAAAAAATTAGAGCATGTAAATGAGATCAATGGTCAAGATTGAGAGTGTAACTTACACTGGTGTAAAATGATCCTGACCCATATATATATATATATATATATATATGTGAGATAATAAATTAGTACCTAGCTAGCTATACATTAGTATAATATTAATCGAGTGTTTGGTTTGGATCTGAATTCTGAAATCTAAAAGAAAAAAAAATAGAAAATCAGATCCCTCGGTGCTGATAAACAAGTGATGAAGGGATGGCTGGTTTTGTCCCACACTTGTTTATAAGACCAGACCTTCACCTCCAAACACCTAACAATACCACCCTCACCAGTATTCATGAACATCAACATGAACATGAACACAATCCAACACAAGACATCGATGACGACGGAGCTGGACCTGCCGCAGTATCATCCTCCACCGCCGTGCGCCGCCCTCGTGGCCGTCCTTCTGGCTCCAAGAACAAGCCCAAGGCACCGATCATAGTAACAAGGGACAGCCCCAATGCCCTCCTCTCGCACGTGCTGGAGGTCTTGGCCGGAGCTGAGATACTTGAGACCCTCTCAAATTACGCTCGCCGGCGAGGGAGGGGCGTTAGCGTCCTCAGCGGCACCGGTACGGTGGCGAACGTGACGATTCGTCAACCGGCGCCTCCTGCTGCTGGTGGCGTTGTAACCCTTCACGGGCGTTTCGAGATTCTTTCAATATCGGGAACCATCCTCCCGCCTCCGGCTCCGCCGGGTGCGGGAGGGCTGTCGGTTTATTTGTCGGGAGGACAGGGACAGGTAGTTGGAGGAAGCGTGGTGGCTCCTTTGGTGGCTTCAGGTCCTGTGGTTTTGATAGCTGCTTCGTTTGCCACCGCCATGTTTGAAAGGTTACCGTTGTCATTGGACGATGATCCTCATCATCATAACGATCAACTCCAACAACCTGCAACGTCACAGTCTTCCAACGAAGGTGGCAGTGGCAGTGGAAGCGTTGTTTCTTTCTTCAATACACCACCAGCAGCAGGAGCAGGAGGAGGAAGGAACATGAGCAAAAGTAGCTATCCGCCGCCGTTCACCTCCTCCATCGCCGGCTAACTATTTTGTGCACCCAAGCCTCCTCTTCCTCCTCCGTTCTAGCTAATATACATTAATTAATATTATGGAGCAACACATGATTTGAATTGAAAAAAATGTAAATTTAAGTGGGTGAATAATTTGGCTTGCACTGTGTTACTCTTTCCTCTTGTTAATTCAAATTTCTTGCTCCTATATATATATTATTATATATAATATCTCCTCTCTGATGTAGCTAGATAGTTTATTTATGAAGAGAATTAGCATGTGTTTAAATATTGGATCAGGTTTATGTATATCACATTTTAATTAATATTGAACGCCGAGACCCACAACAGTACGATGATATGGTTGTCTGTTGAAGCAAGTTTTGGTTTCTCTATCATGGTAAGTTTGATTAATTAGATCAGTCATCAGTGATGACCCAGAATGCAAGATTTGTTTGATAGTATTTGTAGATGTGTTTACTTTCTTCAATATGTGCCTTGCTGTTCCAAAGCACCTGGGAGAACACACACAAAGCCTGTTTCTCCTTACACATAAAACGTAAACCTTGTTCTTGCCACTGCTTTGGAAAGTGATATAGGACTTCAAACATTGCTTTTTCTTCCTGCTCTCAACTGAAAGTTTGCTGACCAAATCAAGCGTTAGACATGAACTTGAAGAATACCGTTCTTTTGACAGTTGCATATATATATATATATATGGAGAGAGAGGTTATACTGAGTTTATAGTGACGACCGGATGTAAAATTTGGTTTAGTCAAGTTTTCTCGCGAGAACACAGTCATAGTAAATATTATAACTATGTTCTCTTGAAAAAACACTATTATAATATCTAGTGCACTATGTTTTCGCGGGAGAACTTAGTGCACTGGACGGTCCAGTCACTTAATTTTCATTTTTTCCATATATATATATGGGTTTATCGTTTCTCAAACTCCGGCTAGTAAATCATAACCATACAAAGATAGATCAATGATGATAAAAGAAGAGAGAAAAATAAAGAATCATAACCATTCAAAAGTGAATCAATTAATATAAGGAAATAAATAAATAGAACGACGTAGTTTTGAGATAGCTGGAGATAAACTTATCTTAAGCTGCTTGAGAAATATTTTTCCATATATATATATATATATATATATATAGGTTTAGGGTTTAGGGGAGAGATAGACACAAAGAATAAAAATCACGAGGGAAGAAAATTGATGGTTTTTTATTTATTTTAAATAAAAAATATTATTATATGTCTGTCTCTTTCTTAAAATGAAATAAATTTAAGGATTACTTCTCTCATGTTAAGAGACAAATAAAGTGGATCCCACCAATTTTTAGAAAAAAGAAAAAAAGAAAAAAGAGAGGCACATTTTTCGAAGAGAGAGTAACATGAGAGATCCATCTTATATAGATTTTCTATAAATTTGTGCCATTTAAAATGACAAATATTTTTTCATATATATATATATATATATGTGTGTGTGTGAGACCTTGTTTCCTAGCATGTATTTTTTATATTTCGCATGATCCATTTATCTAAATAATTAATCCTGTTGTCAATTGTCTGGGTTCTTTAGAGAAACCGTATCCATACTAGGTTGAAGGAAGATACCTAGGAATTATTGGAACCAGTGTCATTGAAACTTGAAATTATAAAATTATTCATGGAGCTCACAAAAATAAAAAAATCTTGGAACTGCATCTCTTTTTGTTTCTTTAAATGGTTTGTTTTATGCCAGAATTACTTAACTGATTTCTTCAAGTTTGAGCTTTTTATGTGGCCGACCCAAACGCCAAACCCCGATAATGGGTCTGCTTTTTAGTTTCATAGTTGTCGGTATATAAGCTTTGCCATCACTTCATAATCAGCTCTGCATGGTGCACCCATATACATTTATACACGTTGATTGACCTGCGTGGGTTAATTTTTTTTAATAATTTGGTAATTTTATGAGTAATTTTATTGTGTTTGAGGCAATGATGACATGTGACATCCAAGACAGAAGCTTCCCCCTTAAGGGAAAAAAATAAAATAAAATAACAGTGACACGTACCCAAGGGAGATGTGCTAGGTCGATCGGTTTGTACCTCACATAAAAATAAGAACAAGAATAACAATTGACATTCAAGGAAGCACGCCTCTCCCTTAAAAAGATAAGATGCATTTCAGGTGACAGCACCACGCTTAAAGACTTAGATGATTTTATTCCAAACAAAAAAAAAGACTTAGATGATTTTTTAGTTAATAAGAAAACTTAATTTTTTTAAAAAAAATCAATGAGTAATTTTTTTTTTCTCTACATGAACCACGAAATTAACGGTATTCCTTTCAGCTGAGTTTCTCTCCCTCCATTAATAATTTTATTATTAGTTCTATTTTAAAAAATTCTAGAAATATAATGGAAACTACCAGATATGGAATGGGCTGGCCAAACTGTATCAAGTCTGATCACACACAGTTGAGATATGGGTTTTAGTGCTTGGTCTTGGGCCTTCAGTCAAGATGAGATCAAACTGCGTATCTGCCCTTTGCGGTAGCGCGTTAAGTCTGATTGGGAGTACCTGCGATGACACTCCGATGCTTAAGTCAGTATCAAAGGCAGGTGATGTATGTTGTTAAATGTAAAGGATGATCGTACCTGGGTGTTGAACTCTTTGTTTATATAGTAGTTATGATGCCGCCTTAGCAAGGCGGCTTGACTTCTGATTGACCAAGTTTGAGTTGCAGGTCAGTACTAGGATCTGAGTTGCCTTATCTTTGTTAGTATCTAGTTGTAGAGTCGCGATAAGCTGGAGATGTCCCTTGCTTATTGGCATAAAAGCGCGGTGAGATTGTCTTGGACGTTAAGTTTGCTTACTTGAGGAGGTTTCATCCGCGATATGGTTATCGCGGCTTGTGTGTCGCGATGAGGGCATTGCGACTTACACGTGATAGTTGTCTGTCGCGCTTGCTCTGGATCCTTGGTGGGTTGGACTTTTTCGTATGTCATTAGACCTCTATTGGGCCTATATTTAATCCGCATCATAAACTAATTCTATAATTAAAAAAAAGTCAATGTTGTTAGTTGTTACCAGAAAACAACACTAGCTAGCTTGATAATATTATTTGCATATTTTTTAATTATACACAATGCAGAACGCACAATTTATAATTATAAGCCGTGCATAATTACCAATATTTAGTTTAAAAGGAAAAAGTGAAGTGATTTATAATTAAAAAACATACGAATATTTGTTTTGTGAATATTTTTAACAGGCTAAGAGACGCGGACTAAATCAGGCTATTGATCATATATTTTATTTGATTATATTTTCGTGGTCTTATTTTTTTTAATCGGTTAACAGAATAAATTAGGTTTTTTTTTTTATAAATAAGTCAGTACACATGCCGATAATTATATTCATAACAAGTAACAGTCTAGATCAGGCTGACATATTTAAATACAAACTTAATTTTTTTAAATCAAAGCTCAGCCCGACTCGATCCATAAAAATCCCTATATACCCTTAAGACATAATTGTTTTTGCTTGCCATAAAAATTCTTTTCTGCTCTAAAAAGAAAAGTTGGGAACCCATAAAATATTATAAGTATGATGTAACCTGAATATCTGATGCATGCAAATTATAGACTTTTCCTATTTTTAAAAAGTAAAAGTCCAGACATGACCTATAGCCTATTTAAGCACGTAATTCGTAATAAACCTTCAAACTTGTAAACCCACTGTGTGGGTCTATCAAGGGTAACGTGCAAAGAAAATTGAATTAAAGCACATGATTGGCCAAAAAACAGTTGTTGATTTTTATATATAAATTATGGGTTCACTTTTTTTCATTAAATAAGTTATTTATATTGAATTCAAAATGATGTTATTTTGGGATGAAAATCAATGTATTTTTGTAATTATAATTTATTTCAGGATTATAATAGTATTTCTCATTATAATTTTTTAATTTTTTAATCCAAAATGACATCACTTTGAGAGCGAATATAGATAACTTATTTACATTCACGGTAGAAACATTAAAGCCATAAATTATTCTAATTTTTTTTATAATAGAGATATAAATAAGCCAAATCAAGAATATTTTAACATATTAGAAGGATTTTTTAAGAATTTTTTTTTTTCAAAATCAAAGCTATTCAAATCTATTGAGTAAAGGGAAGCTGTTTCTAAATCTAAAATTTTATCCTACCATAATTTCTATTCTACAATTTTTTTTAAGTCGTCGGTAAGTTAAAGATATTTATTTATTTCCATTTTGGTACGGCAATTTTTTTAGCCTTCAACTTTTTTTTCCTGATTTCCACTGCCAAATAATAAATCATTCTATTTAATGAAAATTCTCATATTCGTTATAATGTAGTAAAATCTGTAATTTCATCAGCGTGGCCAATTTGGAAATTTTATTGCTCTACTGTTGCAAAATTAGGGTTTGGATTTGTATGTTTCCTAAATTAGGATTTGATTTGTATGTCACACAGTATACGGTTTATTATACAAACCATTTGATGCCATCCTTTGCATTGAATCTGTAACATTACTCATGAATGTTAGACTTAAATTTCGTGTTGTCAGCACGAGTAGTACTACATTTACGTATTTTTCTTTTCTAAAAGAAAGTAGATTCTTTACATTTTTTCATGTATAGAGTGCACTTATTTAAAGAGAGAAAGACAGTTTTCTAACAACATAAACTTGATGTCATAATGGACATATTGAATATCATAATATTTGTCCAAAAAAATAATATCATAATATTTGCTCTGTCAAATAACTATGTTAACCGAAAAAATAAGTTCACCCTGCATGGTTGAGCAATGTTTTCAATTAGACTGACTCACATAGAAACCGTAACATATCTATTTAGTAATGAGGCTAACAAACATATGTCCTGCGGCAGACCCTGCTTAGTTTTGAGAAATTTACTACAGTTATTATTCAAAATGGTGATAATGTGTTCAATCACACGTTATATATACTTGCTTCCTACTTTAGACCAACTCCTTTGAAATTATTTACTCAGTAATACTAAAATTATAATCTTACAAGACGCCTTCCAAACCATTGGATCATTGAATAATAATCGAAGCCATTGGATCATATATATAGTGATTAGTGAAGCATTATTTTCATTATAACGTGAAAGTAATGCATTTTAATTTTCGAGTTTTTGGATGGACTCCAAATTATATGACGGTTAGGATCAGTTTGATACGGGGGTAAATTTTTTAATAGATTATGATAAGTTTGGGTAGTTAAAAAGCCAAGACGTCCTCCAATTGAGCTTTGCTCGCAACCAAACCCCAAAAATCCCAAGACTGGACTTCTTCTATGGAGCCTATTACGCCGATTGCCAAAGAGATAGTATATTTGTACTGAAACAGTTGGTACATAATACATAGTCGGCTTTATGCAACATACACTAAAAAATAGTTAACTTGGTATTCAAAGTGTCAAAAATTACCCGTCATAAAACAACAAAAAAAGATAAGAAAAACTGGCATGTAGCCGCCAAACACTAAAGAGGCATGCAGCAAAATGAACCAAAATCATACATATGATAAAAAGTTTGGCATAGGTTAAGTTCTATTAAATTTACATTTAGATTGTTGCACACTCGTATGGAAATTTTTTCTGTACACATCACACGCAATTGGAAGACGTTATACGTTTGAGATTATATTTTTGCCGCACTAACATTTTGTTCGTTTAGCATTTTCGTAGGCAACGAGCTTTTAAAGGAGTCCTCCACCTACTCGGACTGTAGCTAATTATGCACCGGCGCAGAAGTAAAAAAAAAAAGGGGGTAAAAAGTCCATTTTTTTGGTATAGTGGTAAAAGGGAATTTAACACGGGAAAATCAAGCATATTGCATTAGTGAGATTGGGGATTTTAACTAAAAATAATAATAATAATAATAATAATAATAATAATGTTGGGTAGTAGTTTCAACTAATCCAACAGGGCTGGACTAGTTCCAAACCTAACCATGCCCTGATTGTTTAGAAGATCTTAACTCCTTATGAGGAAATTTTGAGAAACCACTATTCAAGGGAGGAAAATTCATACAGCTCCCTGCTCAAAAGGAACGCGTACAAATAGGCGACCATGCAAACTAACAACAGCAGATGTCTGAAGCGGATCAATTCTTGCAGGTAAGTTCACAACCTGAAAAACCACAAATTTCAGTGAACCACTTTCCCTGAAGAAGCTAAGTAAATATTGCGGTGCTAACATGATATCCTCCTGAAAATAGCAATATATCAAGATCTCTGTGTCAAGAAGAGAGAGTTACCTTTTTGAAGGGGGTAATTCCCCATGGATTGTCAACCTGTTCTGGCAGACCAGTTATAACAAGACGTCCAACTGGATCTGATTGGACTCGCACCTGGATTCATTAAAACAAAGTCAGCAATAAATTTAGAAACCAAGGAAGCCGGAATTATAAAGGAATTTTTATTTTTATTTTAATAAAGTGAGTGAATAAGGTTGTGTCAACCCTTAGATCAATTCATGGGTTATGAACACAATTCACTTTATAAAATTAAGGGTGAATAAACCCTTGTTCATTTTAGAGATAAATGTACTTTACAGTAACCTTTTCCAATCATAAAGAAGGAGGTTATATTTACAACATCTTTTCCCTTACAACCACTTTTATGATTGTTTGATCAAAATGATATTAAATGAAAGCCGTTGATTTGATTTATATCCAACAACCACAAAATGGTTGTAAGTACAACTTCTGCCATCATAAAATACTAGTAGAAACTAATTTTTTAACATGACTAATGGCATAAAATTATCCTAAACGTATAAAAAAACGAAGGTGGCAGAATTTTCTCTTTTTATCACAAAAGAGGATCCATAAACAGCCACTATAGATCAGTAAAATTTGGAAAAAGTGATTCTACATCCTATTTTATACACTTATGTTTAAGAACCAAAATCTATTATACAACGTAATAATTCAAGGATTTACAAATTATTTTTATTAATGTCATGTTTGGATAGCTATGGACTTGACAATTAAAACCTGCATATGTACAGAATTAGGTACTTGAGTATCAAGCAAGTTTATCCTACATAAAAATAACAAAGGATAAAGACAAGGAGTCAAAGAGGTTACCTCCTCACGAAGGAGCCCAGGAACTAGTGCATACACCTCAAAACAATCCTTCTGGACATGGATACAGCAAACAGTCCAAATTTATACTTTTTTTAAAACTTTTTATTTAAAGGAAAGAAACCAAACAGACTTACAGTTTCCCGCACATTGATCTTCACCCAGTCAGCTGGGGGTCCAATGTCCACTACTGCAGTAACCAATCTACCAGATGAAAATAATTTAGCCTTGGTTCAATAGAAAAACAGAAACTTGAAACCACAGTGCATATGTATTCAGATTGAAAGTAGGGATTATAAATGGTTAAATTGATTGAGGAATCAGTAATAATGAATGGTATCCTCACTGACATTATAAGAATGCCAAAGGGTCCTCAAGGCACATTTTCTTTGTCTGTGTTTTCGTTCACAAAACCTTTGGGGAGGAAAGATGCAGATATAGAAATCTTTGGGGAGGACGAGTGCAAATACAGAAACCAAAGGGGCAGTCTCCAAGGACTTGAATAAGATATGGAAAGGGTTTATTCTTTATTTCATTGTGCTGTAAACCAAGAAATCTAATAGAAAAATAGCATTTTGTTAATTGCGTATCGGTAAAAGTAATTTAATCAACATTAGTTGTTATAATTAAGAGAACATTAAGTGGTGGCCAATACCATCAAATAAAATATTGTGGATGGAGAAGCCAACAGTAATCCAGATATAATGTATGTATGTACAGGACTATAGGGCAATTAATAGAAAAGACCCGCAACTTAACTGTCTATCTCCTTCGATATTTGCAGCTTTCTCAGCATGCTCCAAACCAGATGGTGTCTTCTGTTTATTAATCACACCTAATTCATTGAAGCATGAAGAAATGAGGTTGCAATTAATTTAGAGAACAGTTGGTGATGTTTGTGATGAGCATACCGATACTTTTGAGGTTCTTTTCACGCTTTGGTGTGGAACTGAAGTTCTTGTCCTGTGAAAGAAAATAAAATATATAAAATATGCTCTAGTGGTAGAAACATTGACACAAAATATTCATATATATATATATATATATAAAAGAAAATGATACAACGAATAAGAATGTAAACTTGAAAGGTCTCAACAGACCTTAATAACTGGCTCAGCAACCTCACCGTATCCAAGAAGGCGCTGAGCATGCCAACCTTGCATCGCACGTGCTGCCGCATCCCTTCGCGCCCTACCAGAGCCTGGAGCCTGGTAAACAGTGGTCTGCAAAAGAAACTCATTATTTGATATATACTAACAAAGAGTAGAGGAGGCAATGTTGTTACAAGCTCAAAAGTCCATGTCTTTCAAATGCTTTTTCTGTAAAACATCAACACTCTCCTTGTTTTTCAATTTGCAGGAGAGAACCAGCAGCAGCAGACCTTCCACAATCCCTATACTAGAGGCATCACAGAGTGAGGATTTTGGGGACACAGGACCCAAATCAATCCACATATGACAGCATCACCAGCAATCGTTGCAATTTCCAGCACTGTCGGCTACTTTTGGTTTCTCCTTTCCATTTTCTTAAAGTACTTAGTATGATTAACACAATGATATGAAGAATTTGAGAGACAGACTAATGATTTATCCCCTATGTAAATGATGTTACCAATTGTCAATTACACAGAAACTCTGTAACTGTATCATAGTGTTTTACCTATTTTTCTTGTTTAAGATTATAGTATTCTGCTTTTAATTTTTCTCAAAGATTCTAATCCATTATGCACTTTTTTTTTAGCAATAGCCCTTTAGTTACCAAATATTTGACAACTCACCACAGATATGGTTCCCTTATAGGCATGGTAGTCAAAACCACAATATTCCTTGTGTGACGCATGATCTTACGATTTTTCCCCCAGCAGCGATCACGTTCATGCTCAGAAACTCGTTTTGGTGGAATAGTTGTGTAAGATTGTAAGATCTTAGGATCGTTGAGTAAGATTAGAGGATCGAGGACGATCCCACTGTGCTGCAAAAAACCCAAATTTGAAGACCCACATCCACTGGACTCTAAAGACTCGATTTTCAAGACCCAATTTGAAGCGGTCGTGCTGAACCCCTCTTTTTTTCTGCTGCTGCTGTTTTGCTGGTTCAGCCACTACTCTTGAAGCAAGCAGGGTTGGGCTCTACTGCAGTACTTTGGTTCATACTCTTCTCTTATATTATGTTGTTCTGCTGCTTTTCTACTGTTATGCTTCTCTTTGTTGCTGGTTACATATATATATATATATATATGTTTTTTATTTATTTATTACGATCACACAATTTACGTGTTTCCCTCCCCCTTCCCATTCTAGGTAGGAGTTCGATTTTGACTACCATGCTTATAGGTACCAAAGCAGCTCCCATATTTTAAACTTTAAAAACAATATCATGTTTATATATTGTAAGGGAATGGGACACTACTTGTACTCGTGTTTCTGCAATATAGATAATAATGAAGATGTTATTAAGCACATTTTAATTTTGTGCAATAAAATAGCTAATGAAATTAATAAAAAAATAAAGGAAAAAATATGAAAGGAAAAGAGTTAGTATCCCTAAAATATCCCATTTTGTCCTAACAGGAATGAAATACACGGTAACTTGTTTCATAGCAAAAACTCCAGTTCTTAAAGTAGCATTCCTTGAAGATTATAAAGATGGTATTTTCGGATTTCCAACAGTTGCTGGGCTAGGTCTTTGGATACAGTGCATAACTTCTCTCTCATCATTAATCTGGTCTGTTTGATTCCTGGGCATTCATTTAGAGTTGTGAAATGTGGTCCTTCTAGTAGATGTTAAATTTCTCTTACATACAATTACAATTTGCAGTAACGAGAAATTAGTTTTTATTGATGGAAAAATTAAGTGCCAAAATTTTTTGGCTTCTGTTTCTTCTCTCTTGTGGTACAGTTCACAAGTTATTATTCACAGCAATTATTAAAAAAAAACCCATTAATTTCCTTATTCTTTCTGCTTGTACTCAAGAAAAGACCTAGGACTCTTAGAATATTTATTTTTTGTCTCTCACATGAGAGATGAGCATAAAAAGCCCAATGTTTTCATTCTAGCAGACATCTTGTTCAATTCCGGTCAAGTGAATCACATTACAAAAAAGAAAAGAACAATATCCAAACCTCTTTTTCCACACTTGTAGATTGATGGAATGATCCAACAGGGAGCTGTAGCTCTCCAATCTCTCTCTTATGCTTTTCATACTCTAACAATGCCTGTGCAAATTAAAAATTTTCAGGCACAACGGAAATCAGTAGATCAAGCAAGTGGCTGAAAAAAGGCAATAAAAGTCACAGTTGAAATCTTGGTTTCAGTTTCACTGGTGTCCAGAACACCTCTGACAAAGACAACTCAAGCCATGGGAAGGTGAAGTAGAGACAGGATTCAAACTTTTTTCTTTCTTTTACATTTAAAGAATAGGAACATGAAATAGACATCAATTCAAACTGAAACTGATGCACATGTCACCAGATATTTCAGAAAAACATTAGCCAATTCTGGTATCAACAAAAGTGTAAGTCTATCTAATTTATCAATTATTGCAATAAGAAAGTCGCAGTCTTACTGATAATTAGAGATGAGATCTATTTACTAAGCAAAAAGTCCATGAAAAATAAACATTACCTTCTCATAAAAGATTCTAAATGTCCATGAGACTGTAGTGCAAGTCCTGTGAGAGAGAAGTATTCAATATAATAATGAGCAAAGGGATATTGGTTTTGAAATGAATTGTTGAAAGAGATTTTATTTCTTAGAACTAAATTATATATGTTTATAACAAAAACAATCAGTTATGAGCAACTCAGAAGACTACAGAGTTTATTAATGACAGTAAGCAGCAGATATACGAGATGTGGGGCTATGCACGCTTAGCAAGAACTACAAAATAATAGTATGTCTAGGCCTTACTTAGGGGGGTGGAAAGACTCTCCTACTTGCCGCCACAACTTGGACGCAGTTACCTGCATATTATAATCAGTCAGTAAGATCAGCTCTGTCACCTATTATTGGAAACGAGTGACTAACAAAAAGCACAAAACATTTTAGCACCGACTGAAATGAAAGTATAAAACTTATAAAAGTCAAATAAACTAACACATAATATATGTTCGATTCCAAAATTTATAAAATAAATTGTTCGTTAATAAAAACCAAGTTACAGGACAAAAAAATTTGACAAAATTGGGATGGATCTCATGACCCCACAATAAGGAAAAAAGAAAAGTAAACATCAAATCCCATAGGTCCAAGCTATTACCAGGTATCCACAAGTAACATCAGAGCTATTTGAGCTCAGTCCTATCACATCTTTCTATTTTAAAAAAAGGGTCTTATTAGATAAATCACAAATCCGAAATGATTGGCTCTTTTTAAAGTTGATAAGATGACTCAGGCCCAGCTTAAAAAATGGTTGATTTTCACAGCATCAATTCCATTTGTGCTAGGACTGGTGTCTGGGCAATCATTTGAGTAGTGTTGGGAGTACCAACAAAAGGCACGGCCATCAAATATAAGGAAAGCATAAGAAACAGTAATATCAAAAGCATAACTCCAGCACATCTGAGATATCAACACAGCCATCAAACATAGGGAAAGCATTTGGATCACTGCTATGGATGTTTGCTAACATGTTTATTAGATTCAACATAAACATCCCTTTTATCTTACAAAAGGAATGAATAGGATTGAACTTTTGAGCAATGGCAGTAACAGCAGCCTTGAGTTTGAAGTTAACAATATATATCTTAGGCAGCAATGTTAAACTTTAGAATACAAGAACCAAGGAGATGGCCTATTAGCATGCAAAGAGATGGGCTTTCAACAATAATGCAGGAGATGGATCCATACCACATCATAGCCACCTAGTTTGATAACAGCTCTCCATAACCTACAGCCCATGGGAAAGTAAGGAAACCACTATGAGAACAGTTAAGAAACACATTCCATACTAGTATCAAGGGTTATTATACGTACTTAAGGCAATTTAGTGGCTCTCCATAAAACTTAGGAGGCTTAAATTCCAAGGACCTCTCTCTGTAGAAATTCTCCAGCTCTTTCATAAATGTTTCTCGGTCCAGACTCGTACCAGACTCATCATAATCGGTCATCTGCGGGTCAAAGGTAAGATAATTACAATCTATAAAAGGATGATAACATAATGCATTATGCTCTGATATCATACTGGAAGTACCTCAGTATCATTCAGCACGTTCTTCATTTCCCTGACATTCTTTTCTTTAGGCTTTGGAGTTATTAGTTCCTGTTGCGAAACTGTTTTAGCATCTTCAAGCTGATTCTCACAAATTATTTTGGTTTCTGGCATATGACTAGGAGTAGAATCGGCATTTTTGTTATCATCACCCTGATCAACCATTACTTGATCCTGTTGTAGCTGAGTAGTAGGGGAATTGGGAACGGGCGCGTGAGGAGAGGAATCCATATTTTGATCCTTGTTTGAATGTTGGTGTGGCAAAGTGGCATCAACAACCTCCATATCAGAATTACCATGGGAGTTACCCTCCGGTTTATCACCATCCTCCATCTCTAAGCTTATGCCCACAACCACGTAAACGTTATATTAATTATATAATTAGCAACATTTCATGACTCATTCAAGATTTATAACAACAGAATGCAGAATGACGACGACGAAGAAGGTGAAAATCCAAGCCCTAAGTTAAAATACTATATACTTCACAGTCATAGCCAAACCAAACAAGGCCTTTGAAGAAAGAGAAGCAGTAGTGTACCTTAATTGGCGAGGAAGAGGGAAATTGATCGCCGCAAATGTAGGGTTTTGGAGATGGACAATGCAAATTGCAGATGATGAATTTGAAGAAGATGAGTATGTATTTCTATTTCAAATACAAAAATCGAATTGGAATTAGAATGAATGAAGCACATGTACTAAAGTATAGTTCAATTACTGTCTTCAAAATTAAACGCCATATCCACAATTCGCTCTAATATTTCACCTAACCGATGGGATGGGGCTTCGGAAACAATTACCCAACGGCGGTTAAGTTAAATGGCACCACCTCTACCTCCACTACAGAGACATCGACTCTACTGGATTTGTTTCTCGCTTGTCAAAAGACCATCTTACCCCCTTCTATGTGCATTTTTCCTTCCACGGCACATGTTTGATTTATGGATAATTTTATAAAAAAATTTAAATCCTTTTATATTTAGGACTTGTTTGGAGTACCTGCTAAAGAAGATAGGATATGATAACTTATCATATCTTACTTTTATCTCTTGTTTGGTGGGTCAATCAGATATGATTAGTTTTTTCTATTGTCTCATTTTATCCTATCCAATATATGATTTCTTATCCTATGAGGGAGCTGAGTTAGGATTCAACAGGATATGATACAAATATTGAATACCCAATATATTCCCACGCTATACAATATATCCTTACGCTACCCAATATATTTGTATTTATTGCATTATATATTTTTTTTTCTCCTTTCTCCTTCTACATAATCTTATAAGATTGTTAATCAGGTGCTCATCAAACACAGGACATGATATAGACTTATCAACCTCATATCATATCCTACCCTTATCAGCCTCATCATACCATATCTTACCCTTATCCTATCCTGTCCACCAAACGAGCCCTTAGCATATTAAATTACCACTATGTGTCGTCGTATGGGAACTTTTTTTAAGAGTAAATAATTTTTTCGGTTCTCAGCAAATTTTACGATACCCGCTTTAGTCCCTAACAAATAAAAAGACTATTCGTGGCCCCTAATAAATTTAAAGTAGACCCATTTTAGTCCTTTTGAGGGACTAATATGGGTCTTTTTTGAATTTATGAGAGACCAAGATTTTAACTAAATAAGTCCATTTTGAATTTCTTAGGGACCACGAATAACTTTTTTTATTTGCTAGGGACTAAAGCGAGCATCGTGAAATTTGCTGAGGACCAAAAAAGATATTTATTCTTTTTTTAATATTACGCATTACTTTTTTTAGTTTTTAGTAAAAGAGAAATTTTGTTTTTATTTTTATCCATATTTTTTTATAATTTCTTTTATGTTCAAAAAACTTATCCCTTTTAACATGAATTTACCTATATTTGTTGCACCGAAAATTGTCTCCCACAAATGGCCATCACCATTTAGCATTTGTTCCACTTTTGCAAAGCTTTTTTTTTTTACGATTGCAAAATGACACTGCAGGTACTCAAAATTATATCCATTGTGTTTTGCTATACCATAAAATCGGCAAAACTATTTTAAGGTTTTTTCAACTTTATTCTTTTAATTGTTGATTTATGATAGGTATTTGTCTGCATGCGAAGCTCCTTGGAGAATTTTTAGATTTGACATTCATTCAAAATATCTCTCTGTTCAGAGATTGTCATTTCACCTGCCTAATGAAAAGAACATTATTTTCAATAATAATGCTTCGCTATCTGATGTAAAGACAAAGGCAGAGTCTAGACTATCAATTTTTGAGTCTTAGATGAATGCAAATAAAAAATATCCAGAAGGTAGGCATCTAACTTGTGCAGAGTACCCGACTAAATTTGTTTACAAAGAAAAAATGCATGAATGAAATCTGAGAAAAATGGGATTTTCAATTGGAAGAATAAATTGTTTTTCTATCAATAATAGAGGAGATTACTATCTTCGCACGTTGCTTAACTTTCAAAGAGGGTGTACGAGTTATGAAGATCTTAGAACGATCAATGGCGTGCTTTTTCCTACATTTAAGGATGCCTGCTATTCTTTAGGACTTCTGGATGATGACAATGAGTACATTGATGCAATTAAGGAGGCAAATTCCTGGGGATCTGCTACTTATCTTAGATGTCTGTTTGCTCTATTGTTAATTGCCAACTCAATGAATGGGCCTGAAAAAGTTTGGGAAGAGTGTTGGAAATTTTTATCTGACGATGTTGTTTATCGGCATAGAAAAAGAATAGGCCGTCAAGGTACGTGTTATGATTATATTTCATGCATCTATTAATATATGAACAAACAAGATATATATATATATATATATATATATATATATATATATATATATATATTTCATGCATATTTTTTTTATTTTTTAACCGAATTCAGCATATGTTGCTTTACTATTTACTTCGCTTTTTTTTTACCCGCATTCAGCAAATGTTTCTTTAGTATTTATTTTGCTTTTTTTCTTTCCTTTATATCTTTCTCTTTGTTAATTTTTAATTTTTTTTCCTTTGTATTTTACGGTTTTTCATATGCGCTTCTTCCACAAGAGAGTAGAGACTATAAAAAACATAACACTTGCTGAAATTGATAAGATACTGCAGAGCAATGGGAACTGCCTCTCTGATTACCCGTCAATGCCTCGCATCACCTGTGAATCTTTGCTTGATATGCAAAATCAGTTAGTGGTTGATGAATTAATGTATGACAGATTTTCTTTGGAAGAAGAGCATAAACGACTAATGAATTCCCTCACTGATGAGTAGAGAGTTGTTTATGACAAAATCATTTCAGCAGTTAGAGAAGGTAAATGAGGGTTATTTTTCCTATACGGATTCAGTGGTACAGGAAAAACATTTCTTTGAAATACTCTTTCAGCATCTGTTAGATCAAAAGCTGATGAAGGATCACAAGTGCATAGGGGATTGAGTTTTATAACTTTTGCAAGAATAGGTTAGGCATCTTTCTTATTGCCTTCATGTCAAGCACAACATTTAAATATTTTTTGTTCACATGTTGCGTTATTATAATTATTATGCTTGACTCTATTACAGACATGTCATAGTAAAACGTTGTTACATGTTCTGATCATATATGTGAAATACTGAAAGAAGCTGAGTCGAACTTTGTAAGTTTTGAATGATCACATGATAAGATAAAATGCAACAATATACTTGCATGTATTGCGTTAATTTTTATGAGACAAACAAATCAATTTTTTCCCCCGAACAACACACAGGTAATACACTAGTATTTTATAAAAGGATAGTATATTTATGTGTCAAGGCCTTAACAAAAAGGCTTGAATTGTGAATGCAGGCCTTGAAAGTGTTGTAAATCATTGGACTTTCTGGTCTCATGTACGAGGTAATTCCCTTCTCTTGCTCCTCTTACTCCCTTTCGTTCTAATTTTCCCGACAATGGTCAATTATAAAAATATTAATGGTGGTTATTCATTTTTTAGTTAACTAAACCCTATTGTACCACATATCATACTTATGTTAAGGATAAAGGGCCTATTTGAAATCTATTTTGAATGGAAAAATATTTGTGATTTTAAATGACATAAAATTATGTCATTTTAGAAGAGAGATAGACACAAAAGAAATTTTTTATTTTGAATTTAAATTAAAAAAAACCACCCATTTTCTTTCTCCCATGATTTCTATTTCTTGTGTCTATCTCTCTCCTAAAATGACATAACTTATGTCATTTAAAATGACAAACATGAAACCCATTTTGAATAATAATTTTTTGAATTTTAGGAAAAAAAATTTATTTGATAAGATCTGTTTTGTAAAAAAAATATTAAAATTATAACTTTTTTTTTTATTTTTAAAATCAAATTTAGAGAATAATTTTTTTTGTTTTATACTTTTAACTTTTAATTTTTAAAACAAAAAAAATTATAAAAAATATTTATTTCATTAACTATTCTACAAAATAATTTTAAAAATAAAAAAATCAGAACACAATCGTACCCACTTATTTTTAGTCCTGTTCTAAAAAAGACTGGTATCTGTAGCACACAAAACTTCTTTCCTGCACGGAACGAACTACCTTTTCAAAGTTCACTCTTTTGTGTTGCTTTGCATTACTTTCACTAGGCTCAAGTTCCCAAATTCTTAATCATGACAGTTCCACACAGGAACAGTAATAACTGGGCCAGATGGATCACCAATCTAAGGTTATTGCATGGAGGCCTGTCTCCTTAGTATCAAGCCCAGCCCAACCAACTTGCTTGTCACCACTGACATGTGTTCATTCATTCAACTTGGACCAAAAAAAAAAAATATTCAACAAATAGAATATAATATGGCAAAAGTTTTACAATTCTTACAATTAAATTAATTATCGTTATTTTTTGTCAATTTAATGGTTATAATTTATTGAGTACTCTTATTAAATAATTATTAATTTCTAATAAATTATAATAATTAGATTAACAAAAATCAACGGTAATTAGTTTAATAGTAAGAGTTGTAAAACTTTTTAATAGTAAGTATAATCTCTCCCATATATTATATAAACAAATAAATAAAATATATTGTATCCAAAAAAAATCATTTAACTTAAAAAAAAATGTACCAAAAGAACACCATGATTAATTATTGAAATTAGATGTAGGTAATTATTAATCACAAGGTGACATAACGTCTAATATAAAAAAAGAAAGAAAGAAGTAAGAAACTCCCTTAATTAAAATTAGGGAAAAGTTAAAAAAAAACCCTCATAGTTTCACTTATAATCACATACTCTTTTATGATATATTTTTTTATCATTTATCCCTTTAAGATTTTTTCCATCAAGCCCATTTTAACACTGTTACAAATTGGCTTATATGTCTATTTTGTCTTTATTAACAACATTTACTTCCTCACACATAATCTGCAACAATAAAATAACTTATTGACATGCTACCTGGTTTTAAAAGCATTAGGAGTCTTAAATTTGAGAAACATCAGTGAAGTGAATCCATCAAATTTAAGTATGTTAATTGGTATTGTTATTAATAAAGCCAACGATATTAATGAGCCCAATAAAAATTTGTAGTCATTTATACTTGAGGCAATGAACAAGTTGATGGTTGGTTGAGAAAATATCTGATCCAATATCTGTTGGTAACTTGGTATCAGAAACTTTGAACGCAATTGCAATCGTTTCAGGTAGTACCGGAGATGTAGCATCTACAGTGGTCATGTGCAAATCTCTCACAGAAGGTTCAGAGGTTTTTTTTTTTTGGAACAAGATGAATATATGCAAAAGCTTTGTGTTTGACCTATGGGTGTTCATTGATTTGGTCGAAATCTCTGAGGAGAAATTCTC